GAAATAAATAGTAGTTATTTTCTAATGCTTGAAAGAATAGACATGTTATTCGTTTGCTAACGGACTTCAATAATATAGGGTCTAATGTACTGGACAATACGAGAATTCATATAATGAATAGCTCTAAATTCAACAAAAATATCTTAACAAGTGAATTATGGATTTATGGTGAAAATGTAAATTATATAAAACTAAAACAAGTAGAAGCTTTCATTATTAGGATTGAGTTTTGAACATATTTGTATCGAAAATAAATGCGTCGTCAAAACAAAAACGTCTCAACAAAAAGCTTTTGTTTTTAAAGAAAAGGTCATGCTGTGATTATAGGACATGGGTCATTGTGAACATATCTGCTTGTGTATTGGACTTATTTGTTCACACACACACACATATCACATTGATAGCAACTCTACATCGGCAGCTACATCCATATCTTGATTTTTCTTCACTTATGTATCAATAAACATAATGTTCACCTCTCTTATTCGTACTTGAACAGGAATTTAATACATGACAATTAATTTTTTTTTATTTATTGTATAAATATAAGTAAGACGTCCAGATCGCTGTTAGATGAAAGATTTTATTCGTGTTCACAATCTGCTGATGAGTTTATGCTATTTTACTTCAATTTTTATTGATTCTACTTTAGCATGCGAGTCCTTTTTTTCATCAGTATTTTGAAATAAGGTCTAATAAAGTGGTATCGCATTTTCACTAGCAAGAATATAGCTAGTTCACAATAAAGTTTTATCTTTTATTTAATCTACAACATGTATTCTTGTTATAGCTCTAGAAACTGAATGCTTCCAAAATCTTCTTTTTTTCTTGAATGCAGCATTGCTCTTACACGTATGTGTAAAGTAATATAAAAACCTGCGGATCATGATTTGATGACGTGATATTTCCTATTTGCAACGAGCACAACTCGTTGTACTATCGAATACGGTACGTACTTATCAATGCTGCGTCATATCTTAAATATAATAAGAAAAAGTACTTCATGCAACAACAACAAAGAAAAATAATTCATGAAATGATCTTGGCTGAGCAAATAACCTGTCATTATAATCAAATCCATAGCTAGCATTTTATTAAAATGATAACCTACATAATGTCATTCTTTGATTGATTATCAATATAATTGCATTGAATATCAAGTAGATCAGATTGATACAAAAAAGTGCAGCCGTAAATCTGAACTTTCATATGAAATTCTTGAATAATCCTCTTTTCTAATTCTATCAAAAACATTCTCAACAATCTTTAAAGCAGCCAATTTCTTCATTTTTGAAATGACTATTTTTGAGATTTTTCTGTAGCATTGAATAAATTGATTCAGAAATAGATTTAGAGTGAAATAAGTTTTCTCTTTGCATAAGAATCTTTGAAATAAGAGCCAGTTTCATAGAACTATTGAATGAAGAATAGAATTACTGCTTTGTTTTCTTATAATAACATATACTATTATTACATATTTAGCACCGATTGCAGCTGGTACATGCTCCAACCGATGTCTACATTCTAAGTATTCCTACGGTAGTCTACCTTGTTCAACAGAAGGAATAGATGTAAATAGAAAGTAGCTAAGCGAGTATTAGTTTATTGATCCGATACTAATCAGTGACTAATGGTTCATTCTTTTAAAATATGATTAGCAGCATACAACTCGTTAGTTTAGAAGTAAGATGTTCTGTTTCAAAGACACTGTCTAATTTTCGTTAAACTTTGTAACGAAAGTTGCTTGTTTTTGTTTTGTCTCTTCCATATTGAGAACTGAATTCGAAACTTTTTATCAGTTATAATCACGTTTTCTATGGCTATCATATGAATCCGTGTCCATTGAACTATGAGTTAGTTTTTGTGAGCTTCTTTAAAAAGAGAGTTCCTTATAGAATTATATTACAGCAAAATCGTTTCACAAAAAAAGGCACAATAGTTTATGCCGATACTTCCGTGAATGTTTTTGCTCAAGTCAGAGCTTTGAAGTTCGACTTTGAATTTTTTTGTGCCTGGAGTACTCCCAGAGATTAAAAATAAAATATATGGTCCTTAATTTGAAAACTTTGTATTTGACCAGATTAAATTCGTCGTACTTACAGGAATATAATATTTTTATTGAAATTTAAGTAATACGGCAGAGAAGAGGACTGTTCCAATACAAGAGTGTAAGTGCTACGTGTAGGTATAGATGTAATTACATGATGTCAGGTCGAGGTGGAGGTAGGTTTGCGACGAGTGTCGCTGTTGCTATAAACTACATTCCAACGCACATCGGCAACTCACATCCACACCATTCAATTGCGCATGATTGTCTTTAGAAAACTCAGATAACTAAAAACACAACATACACAACGATTGCGACGCAGTTTATAGTAAAAACAAAATATCTCAACGAAGTACGAACCTTATTGAAACTCAATTGAATTTATCTTCCTAAATAAAAGTCCTAAAACCAATCAACAATCGTTCATTAGTAATTATTTTGAAAGATTCTACATGAAAATTTCATAACACATGTTCGAGGTATACTATGATTCACAGAAATCCTTACATTTTGTAAGAAACGAACTCGTTCGACTTCAATCACAGCTACACAAATCGTCGATATCTCAATAAATTAGAGTCCGACCTTTGGCAGTTCTATTACACCCACGTTGACACGCCCCATAAGACACTGTTCATCCCTCTTACCATTGGCAAATGACAACATACCATAGAATCAACTGTCAAAAAAGCAAAAATAGATTATAGATATGTAAAATCAACAATAAAAATACGGTTGCAATGAAGTAAAGATTATATGCGAGCTTTGAAAATGTGCTCATTAGTATATAATTATTGAAAACAAAAACAAAACACTGGTAAAACAAAACTCAATCAATAAGGACCATTAAATCTAAGACAGGGTTGTAATCTACTGAAATGTTTGTGAGAATATTTCAGCATATGTGCTACTTCAAAATAAATACAACATTGTCTAAATGATTTTGGACAGCTTGTTCGTTTCTCAACAAAAACAATTTTTGTAGCTACCATCTTCAACAGATTAGCTTTATTGTAGGATAAGTAACACGAACACAATGTACAAAGCTCACACATTAATAACTTCATTATTTTTGAAATACTATCTGTTTCTCAATCATTCCATGACTAGCTGAAAAAGTGTCAGAGTCTAAACCCGAATTTTAGTCTAGTAAAAGTTGATTTTGATCCCTGTCGAACTCATCAAAACCTGGTTGATATTTTCCGTTAATCTTTACGACGTTACATGTGAAGCATGTGGTATTGACGAATTTATTAAATTACTTATCAAAGCTGATATTGATCCTATTTATTATTATCAAGTTGTTAAACTTTGTCCAAGTTAAACAGATGTCTTTGTAGTTAAGGATGGTGATGATAACAAATACATAAATTTTGCTGCTACACCTAAGAGTGCTTCTCATGGTTTTAAATTTATAATTGATTGTTCTTTTGTCATTGTTAATAGGACTTGTATAGATACATTTACAATTGACTTAGTCAATCCTGAAAATCAATCAGGCGCTGACTATTAACACTAGTTTGAAGCAAAACCGCTTGATAAATATCCACAAAAATTGATCTTGTGAGTTAAGTTGAAATTTATCGTGATCCTCATAAAGAGTAGGAAAAACTCTATTTTCTTTCGTAAATTGATAGTCTTAGTTTTATATTTTGTTTATAGAAATTGTTAATGACTGATCATTAGGTATTTGTCATGTTACTGGATAACTATGCAATGGAGCATGTGGTTCGCACCATTCACATAGGTCTTTGTATGGTCTGACGGATGATGTTATTTGAACCAGCAAAGCAAGAAGATAATGTTTTTTCTATAAATATTTTTTAAGAGATTCTTTGATGCTGATCGATTATTTTATGCATGCATAATAATAACATCCAAATTGTTATTTTAAACACGATTCTAGGGATTCTCTTATGAAAACTTATCAAAACTCCGCTTAAATTTTTACAAATGGAAAAATTCAAAAAAAAAGCTAGAATTCAAATTCCTGGGTTCAACATCTCCATTGAATCCAAAATACATAAATTCTGTTGATGTTTCAAACTTTATAGGTTGCTTGACAATCATGGGTTTTAATAGTCTCTCATCCCAAACTCAACTGTTGATTGTTCGCTAGATAAAGAGAATGAACATATTTTTATTATAAGTTAGACTAGAAAGCTGATGATGGAAAATTTAGTCATTATTTTTTACAATACTTTTCTTAACATGTCATATTGCTTCAATATAATTTGATGTTCAAAAAAATTTTATGATGACTTAATAATAAACCAATTCAAACAAGAAAAATTAGAAGTATTTTGGATACTATTATATCTTTCAAGGTTAGACACGATGTACATTTCTAACTCTTCATAATTGCTCTTGCTTTACTCAATATGAAAACATGAAGATTCTGATAAGCAGCTATTTATACAATGTTTTAGTTGATCTCTTTAGAATATTATTCATCACTATAATTACTGACAAAAGAAAAAGTGCAATAGAACAATCAAAACTTGGAATAGCAGGTTACCAATATGTAAAATCAGCATCTGGTCGACAAATCATATTTATTCCTTCAATACCTTTTTCTCGGCCATACTGTAAATATCTGAGTACAATTCGATTACAATAGTTGAAAAAAATGTTTTGGTGAAAATACTGTTGTAATAGGATAAATTTTATTTTCAAATCATACAGTTCTAGCTAATAATTTGTAATAATTGAAAACACAATGAATCACAATAGCCAAATTAATAAAGACAATTAGTTAAATCTAAGTCAATGTCATAATTCAATGAAAGATCGGTGAGAACATGGCACCATTGATACTATTTTGAAAATAAACATAACATTGACTGAATAGTTGTTGGACAGCTTGTTCGTTTTTAAGCAAAACAAAGTATTTATGTAGCATACGTTTTGTTTCGATTAGGCTTCGTAAGGTGTAAGAAGTAATGCTAAAACAATGTATAAAGCTCTAGCGTTTTTTGCTTTGATTGTTATTGGACTAGCATCTGCCTCTCGACCATTGATTATTCAACGAGAAGCAGGTCAACGTTCAAGTTGGAAATTGAAACCGGCAAATAATAATCTTGATCTCTGCCATTATTGTGTTGATGAAGCTGTTCAAGCCATCAACGTTATAGTGAACCTGATTCTGGATGAGGAAATTTTCGATACCTGTTCTGACTTATGTAAAGCAGTTGCTAATAAATCTGGTTCGTCAACAATAGGCGAAGCTTGTACTATTATATGCGATACATTTGGTTTTACAGAATTTATTTGACTACTTATGAAATCTGATATTGATCCACTTTACTATTGCGAAGTTCGCAAGCTTTGTCCAAGTAAAGTAAAAAACTTTATCATAGCATTCCAATAAAATTTTTGCAAAATATGTTTGCATAGTTAAGGATGATGGTGACGCTAAATTTATATATTTCGGTGTTACACCTAAAAAGGCTGCTCAAAATACAGAGTTTGTGATTGATTGTTCTTTTGTTTCGATTAATGGTACTGGCACCGGTTCATTTACTACTGATATTGTTAATCCTAAAAATGAATCGTTCGATACTGATTTCCTTTTTTGAAGCAAGACCACCTGGTAAATATCCAGAGAGAGTTGATATTTTGGCTTTATCTAAAATGAACTGTGACCCTAGAAAAGGTAAGAGATAATGGATTTGCTTTCGGAAATCGGCATTTTTTCGTTTTTTTCACTTTGTTTATTTTATTGAAGTTTGTAATGCTTGGTCACTAGGTATTTATAATGTTACTAGACGAGTATGCAATGGAATGTGCGGTTCACACCATCCACGCTCGTCTCTTTATGATATGACTAAGGAATCGTTTGAGTTGATAAAGAAACAAGATGGCTTTTTCATAAGAAACATTTCTTCAAAAAACCTCATTTCATATTGATCATTGTTTTATTCATCAATAAGAATAAAAAAAGATTCGAATTGCCATTAATTTTAATAGAATTGAGTTTACGTGTGAAAACTTTCAATAGTCTCTCGAAAGTTCTAAATAATTTTATACAAATATTGAACTTTGAATAGATTAAATACATGAATTGAGCATTCAGATTTAAGAAGTTTTGATTTAGAATTCTGTGAAGACCAAAGGACGGGGGTACATAAGACGTCAAATCGGCCCATTGGTATTTTTCCAGACAAACCCTATTGAATTTTACATCAACGGAACGAGCAAATTGAGACGAACATTTTGGTGCTAAATTCATTACGTTTTGATCGAATTTCGAAGGTTAAAAGCTATAAACAACATAACTTATTTTTGGTCATTAATTGAATAATTGATCCGTGCACTGTGGATTCAATTCCATAATAAATATATAAGACAAAATGGTACTTAAATTATGAATTTGATAGCTCTTGCATAGGGCTTCAATTCTATATATAAATCGTTATTTGATTATTTAGTTCGATGAGATAAAGATCCAATTCATTAAGAAGTACTATTAGTGTATTTGCTATATTTGTCACTTTCTCTTATATTTCAACAGATATTTGAACTTGAAAACTGAAGGTACCAAAAATTTGGTTTGGCTCGTTTGATAGTCCTTCTCAAAA